TTTATTTAAAGTTTTTCCCATAAGATGAATCAGTGTTGTTTCGACTAGTATTTTTTTTTCTAAATTTCAATTATACTTTTGTGAATAGTTTTTTAAACTGAAATGACCTTCGTTTATTTAAATGCACATAACCGATGTATTTTAAATGGTAATTCTATCTGTTTATTCTTGGTTAAAATTTGTAAGATAAAAAAACAATTATTTTATACTTGAGATTTGCTGACATTAGTACCTGTCTAATTGAAATCATGTCATGTAAAGAATTTTGAGAACTACTAAGCCAGCATAACTAAGATGTCTTGAGAAACTGTAGGCCTTTGCGCCGTTGTTTAATCTGTCTAATACATGGTGCTCGTACATTTTTAAAATAGTTTCTATTCATTAATGTGATCTGTTCTTTTCCCTCAGAAATTTCTTCTCCTTGAACAGTTTGTTTAGATAATTGTTTTCAAATGAATTAAATTGAAATAAAGTTTAGAGCAAATAATTTTCTATTCATATTAAAGAAAAATCCATTACATTTTCTAAAATTAGCTTTTGGTTAATAATACGGAATATTCGCATGCTTCAATAATACCTATATAAATATATTTTATTTTTTTGATAATAGATAAAAAAATTTCTTTTGAAAGACTGAAGGATTTGTTCAAAAGGGCATAGGCAAAAAAAGAACTTTTTATTAAAAGTAGCCTCAATAGGCAGGGGAAACAACAAACACCCTATTCGCACCCGCGCCGATTTTTGACGGACGAATTTCCGATATATCTGGCGAAGGGCCTCCTCGTTAATTTTAACGATGTTCTGTTTGCCATCTTTGTCCTTGTATATGTGACCGCCTCCACATTATCAATTTCTCTCTTCGCCCCTGAAATATTTATCTTGTACGTCCGCCATTGAATCTGAACGATAGACGGACAAACGGCCCAGTCCGACCTAATTTAGTAATGAAAATGAACTTCAACTTCCAACCAAAGGGCGCTATTCCAATTTTCTCTTTGAATTATGTTTGGCTGAAACTTTTTTTTAAACACAAAGCTTGCTTCGAAATTAGTTCGAATAACTTTTTCCTTTTATTTGTGATCAACGTTGAGAACAAAAAAAAAACCATCCCACACGAATGGGATCGTGAATAATAGTAATATAAAATGTTAACTCATTTTTCAATACAATATGCCAGTAAAACAATGTGAGAAAATGTATATTTTTGTTTTTAAATTTCTCACATTTTCATAGAGCAGTGGAGTATAGATTTTTTTTCATAAATCAAAGTAATGTTATTTCTTAAACGAAAAGAAGTCTAATAAGTGCACATAAAATAACAGCAAAGCAATTTTTAAACCTAATTTAAAAGAATAATAATTGATGATGAGGTGGTACTACTGAGTTTAATTGCCCATGTTTTAGGCTTGTCTGATTATACCTGATCCCATCACTGGTTTGTTGGTGATCTGTATAGCATTTATTTTATTTGTATTTGTTTTTCTTCTGATTTCTACATTCTTTTGTAGTGTGCATTGTAAGATGTTGCACTGGATGGCTCATATTGTCCTAATTTGTAAAAATGTATATCGAATTTTTGTTTTGGGGGTATGAAAAATTTCAGCACCTTGAAAATCCCAACGTGTTTTCACTAGAAAGTTATTTGCCCTGCCCAAAACCATACCAAATTTTATGGTTTATTAAGAGACAAAAATTGACCAGTTATTTTTATATGCCCTCAAACGCCATTTTAACTACATCTAAAATCTCTACAAACTTCCTGATTACCGTCTTTACAAAATAGTAGTCCTTGAAGTCGTTAGTCGTGGTGCATTGTGGTTTGAGCGTTGGAATAATTTGTGTAGAGATCTTTCATGTGACTCATCATTTTCCATAATTAATGTGAATGAATGGCCTTTGCTGTATAAGGAAATTAAAAGAAAACTATGTGGGAAATTCGGTGAAGAAATTCAGATCCACCACGCCTTTTTTTAATTCTATATAAGGATCTTTACCAAAATGATTTTAATATGTTTAACCTAAGATTAAATGTTGATTAGTCGAGCTAAGGTGGTTATTCAAAGTCATAGAAGACCTGATTTATCTCAATGGCGTGCAGTTTTGGGCTAAAGAAGATGTAATTTGTTCATTGTGCAATGACCGTGTTGAAGAAGATATAGTGCATTTTATTGCAAAATCTTATCCGAGATTCGGCGTCTACATCTAAATTTTGTTAAATTAAATAAGACCCAGTTTATTCACTTGTGGCTAAATAATTTCCAAAATGTAATTAATCATGCGCGCCATTCTTAGCATTATTGCCAAGAGTTAAATATGTGGTGTTTAGTGACCGTTAGTTAATGATTATTCGAAGCTCGTGAGATGCGGTCTGGTTTGACGTAGGTTTATAAAAACATTTTCTTGATTGTGCCAACGTTGTGATCTTTATACAGATCATCTTCAAGGCCTGAGATTTATAAACATGGTTCAAATTATACAAATAAATGTAGGATGCGAAAAAAGGGAATTTATACAATGATAGAAATTTTAGACTCAATCAAAGTATTTGTACTTGTAAGAACAAATCACACCAGACCACATCTCACGATCTCCTAATAATCGTCAATAATAAATTACAATTAATTAAGGTTTTTATTTGAGATGAAAAAAAGTCAATGGCACGAGCGGGATTCGAACCCACGATCTTCGGCTAGATACGCCGCTGCTCTACCACTTGAGCTATCGTGACCTCGATCCACTCGTACATCAACTTCTTATATCAACCCCACCTTAAGTTTTCCCTCCTTTTTGCCATTTTTCAAATGTCGTGTAATCGGATTGGATTCTCGACGACAAATGAAATGGCCACGGAGAGCTTTAGTGAAGTGTACTTCATTTTAATCATTAAATTCACTAATTTCGTGGTCCGCTCGACCAATTAATACATTACAATTAATTAAGGTTTTTAGTTGAGATAGCTCAAGTGGTAGAGCAGCGGCGTATCTAGCCGAAGATCGTGTGTTCGAATCCCGCTCGTGCCATTGACTTTTTTTCATCTCAACTAAAAACCTTAATTAATTGTAATGTATTAATTGGTCAAGCGGACCACGAAATTAGTGAAGTTAATAATAAAATTTAATTTTTAAATGTTTTAAAGATTTTTCATTCTCAATTGCTGGCCGCTATAATATAATATATATTTGTTGTAATTTAAACGAAAAAAAGAATTACATTTTATAATTATGGTTTGTAAATAATGAAATTGTTAAAAATAAAACTTTTAATTGTAATATATAGGTAATGATTAAAAAAATGAAAAAGAAAAATATATAAAAAAGGAACTCAATTGTATTATGTATAGTCTGCATGAGCATTTGCTAACTTCACCTCTTACATTTGTTTCCAATGGGTATAGAATAAATGTTTTGTAGTTTTATCGATTTTGCAGATAATGTTCTATTAGTTGTTATCAGGGCTGTGGTCAAAGAAAGATATTTTTAATTTTAAATAATCGCCTAGCTTTCGGCACTTTATTGAACCTTCTACAGTGCTCTACAAAAGGAAATATCTCAATATATACATTTTTAGTATTGGCCAAATTGACATCAAATATGTAAAAGAACCAAAAACACATTTTTGTACTTATTGATTTATAAACGTTCAAAGTTTATAAACATAAATTCTTTTATTTTCATGTTAACAATGAGAACTTTTTTTTTACTCTCCTCTTCAACTTTACAACTACGACATGTCTAGATGTTTACAAATATCACAGCCAGTAAACATCATCGAAAAACCTTAGATAATAAGAATAATTAATTGTAAGAATAAATAATGTTTCTAAATTAAATGTGTGGTGTTTCATGACTGTTAGCAAATGATTATTCGGAGATCGTGAGATGCGATCTAGTGTGCCGTAGGTTTTAGAAAAACATTTTCTTTATCGTGACAACGTTTCGATCTTCACATGAGATCATCATCAGGGCCTTGTGTTGTTTGCATTTCAACAAAATATTCTCTCAATGATAGCCGATGCAGGTTTCTTCTCATTGTTGGCGATGTCCTTCAGAATACTTGATGTCCACATGAAGAAGATCTCAATAAAGATCGAAACGTTGGCACGATAAAGAAAATGTTTTTTTTAAAACGTACGTCATACCAGACCGAATCTCACGATCTCCAAATAATCTTTTCTAAGGAAGTCGATGGGATTGTTGTCATTACCCCTGTAATACATAGATTTGCTAATCTTTGCACACTCGCTAATTTTGATAGCTTGATTTTGTTGAGCTTTGGCCCACCGATTAACTAGACATCTTAGGTTTTATTATTACTATAGTCAATAACCCATTTTTGCTTTTGAAAACGATAGATAGGGTTCTTCTGCCATTGGTTGTAATTTATTTTTTGTTCCTAGGTGTTCATCCTCACTTTCTAACATGTACCATATTTCTGTTGTTACAATTAATGTGGGTTTTTTTTTCTTTGCGGCCCTATTGTGAAATCATTGCTCTGTGATTTTTAGTGCTCTTTCGGTGAGTTCTTAATTTCTGAGAAACATTTCCCCCTGACTATTATATAAACGTGGAAACATATTACTTACGAAAAACAACCAAATATTTAAGTAATTTTGTAAGTATAAGAATATTAATTAGATTTGTTACGAGTAAGCAGAACTGTCAGTTATGATTTAATTGCTAAGTAGTTAACAAAATAATTAGACTAGAATTAGTTGTAATAACTAAAAATTACAAGAGGCAGCGTGAATTCCGTCTAATCGTTGCCTCCCGTCATATTAAATACCCATTTCGCCTCGCCGCAAACGTTAATGGTAGAATTAAGGGGAAGTGTAACTAACCGCTGCTTTAATAGCGATAATCTTAGTCGTCGTCCAAAAAGCCTTTGAGAAATTAAATGTATTTGAGCGAAGCAATTTAAATTTAAGCTAAATTGCTAAACGAAAAGCAGGTTGACAAATAAACCCCGAATATACGTAGATGACATATTTACTTTGTTCATTTTCTTATTTCTCTTATTAGGAAAAACGTTAGATATTAAATTTTTTTTTGGATTATTTTTTTCATTAATGTGTAATTTTCTTACCTTGAAAAAGTTGGTTTAACCTCAACGGTGAACATTCACCCTGAAACAAAAATGTAGTGGTTAAACAATCAGGTTTTTGGACAGCTTTGTAAACAGCTAGATTAAATTAATTTTTAAGTATTTCAGTAGATTGATTCAAATTATGAATTACTCCATGTTTATCTATCAATATAATTTAATGTAACAATTCAATATAATGTATTAAATAAGTTATTGCTTTACCGATGGCTGATTTATACAAGCTCAATTGTGCACAAATATGTGCATATATAAACATATATAGAAAATTTATGTTACGGCATCTCACGGTTTGGCAAATTCGTGTTTTGGCAGTTCTGTAAAGCCTCGTTTTTTGTCCATCCTGCCGACGAAATTTACCTCCAGAGACTGAAAATTTATGTTATAGCTTGGTCATTTAAGCTCAGAATGTTACAGTTTGAAAAGTTAGACACACACACACACACACACTAGTATTCCATCACCCTATAAATTACTGTACAGAAAATCTTATTGAGGGTCGATGCGGTTCTCAATATTATACTATCATCCCTTTCGCTCACAAGCGCATTAACAAATCTCAATAAACCATAAAGGGAACAGAAAATGAGATATCTATCAATACGTGCACGTGCACAATTCTATTATCGGGTGGTAGTTTTTCACGGTCGTTCTATGGAGTCAAAAAATGACAATATTCAATTACGTGGGACACATTGACCAACATTTACCTTCATTCCGGATGCATTGGCGGTCTTTGGCCTAAAGGTAAGTAAGTATTCTTGTGTTACTCTCGCTTGGCCTATTCTTAATCGGGTGAGCATGATCCCTCTCCTGCGAATCAAATAATGAGGGTCATGTCGGAGTACTTTTAGCACACACGGCGAGATCGCCCCGAACGAGAGGTGCCTTAAGAATACTAGAACAAGTCTGCCAGATGCTCAAGAATGTCTACCGTTCCAAGTATCCCTATGACTTCGCAGAAGGTTGCAAGGGATTATTCTAAGCGGGGGGGAGCTGTTCTTACATTAAGCTGTGCTGGCATCTAATGATCCTCACCCAAATATCCCTGTCTGGCTAGGAAATCCGCCGCATATCCTATAGTAATATGTGATGATTAGTGACCGTTAATCGATAATTATTCAGAAATCGTGAGATGCGGTCTGACCGCATCTTACGATTTCTGAATAATTATCCTATAGTAAGTTGCTCTCTTAGAAAATTGGGAGGCAACATTCCCAGCTGGCATGAAAGTCTTGGCCAATACGGGCCATATGAGCAATTATGTAGCAAAATAGATATGTCTATTGTTGTGGGGAAATCAATGAATACCATATAAAGAATGATTTTTAAGCTTATTTTGGTTTTTACTGTTAAAACATATTTGCGAGGGGGGAGTCTTAGAGGACATTATGAGAAGTATAAATTCTCGGACTAATTGACAAGAACACAATCGATCATAGAACAGTTGAAAGATAAATAAACATAGAGACAAATAAATTTATCTTTTTATAAGCAAATTAATACGTAGATGGGTAGTTAAAAGCACTTAATTACTTCAAAAGCTTAAATTACCTTAAATTTCTATCGTAAAATTAGGAAAATTATAATTAAATTTATAAGTATACAACTTGCACATGTTTATTGCCGCAAGTGGCATGTTGAACGTCTTAAGGCCAAGGGATAAAACTTATATTCACATTAACCACGAAATGGCATATTAAAGAAATATGAAAAAGTTCATTAGAGCTTCAAAAATTTTCCAAAATAGATTCAAAAAGGTAGTTCATTAGAAATATCGTGTTCTTAAATGAGAATCTCAAGCCGTTAATTAATTTTCTTTGTAAACATTTTAAATAAGCCTGTGTTTTTCTGAAATGCAGGAGTAGATTAAGATCAATAACATCCCAAAGAAGCCGCGAGGGTCTTCCGCAACTTCGCCCATTTCTCATCGACCTTTTTGTCCGGCGGGGTTAAAATTTTCTCCTCCAGCTTCCGTTTTGGCCCCCGTCTCAAGAAGAAGATAACAGCCCGGACAAAAGACGAAGTGACAGCTAAAAGGCTAAGTGTGCGCTTTCAGAGAACAATAGGACAGTTATCTCTAAGTGTTATAATTGCCTCTGAGTTGTGCGTGAGTGCCGGCTCTTTTAAAACAATTTCCAAACGGCACTCTAAATATCGCTTTAACACGGGGATTTTCCCTTTTTCATCATTTTCAACCCAACGGTTAAGTGGCGATTTCCTGAGAGTTTTCTTCCATTTCAAAGCACCGATTTGAACTTTGCATATTTTTTCGACAGTTTAATTTTCGATGCTTTGAACTAGCCCAACTTTCCACGGCTTATGTTTTCAACACTCGGTCAATGAAAAATATATCTACATATGTCCTGTTTGTTGGCCCGAATAACGACAATTTATATTTTTAAGTTTTTTTGTAATTTAATCCATGTCATATTTTTTTCATTATTGTATAAATAATTAGATTCATATAAACGTTTTAAAAATTATTAGAATAAATATTTAGTATATTTTTTATTTATTTATTTTTTTACGTGGGATCGCAACAGCAGAGGTTACATCAAACCTCGGGGTGCCGGTGTTTTTGAAAAAAGCCCATTTTTAAGTATTTTTCAAAAACACCGGCACCCTGAGGGTTTTGATGACTTCTGCTGTTGCGAACCCTCGTAAAAACATAATAAGGAAAAGCTTGTTATTATGTATGGATACAGTTATGCAAATGATTCTATGCCATGGCTTTTACATGAAAGGCGTTATTTTTATTCAATTGAAGTGTTTACCTAAGCCATTTTACGAGTCCTTTTACGAATTTTACGAACACAATGGTTGGGCTAGCAATGATGAAAAACGATGCATCTTGATTCACTAGCTACCAAAAAAAGCTACTACATTCAAATTAAAGTCGTCATGTAAATCAGTGCCGCTGGCGTTAGAAGAGTTGAGGATGGATGATAGACAATCGTTGCGGTGTTAGAAGCTGATGGCCCGGGGGTGATTATTGTATATACATATGTCTATTATGACGGATTTTGTCATCCCGGCTGAGCATGCATCACACGATGAAGGCCCATTCTTCACCTGGCACCCCTCGACTTCGAAATGCCCGGGAACCTAAAACATCCCTACGCCAGCTTTCCGATGTACTGCGGCGAATAAATCTATGCCTAGCGACTATTAATTGTCCCATTGGCGGAAGGGGGATCTCACTTAATTGCTCTCGAACCGAACCCGATGACATATTCCGGGTGCCCGGGGGTTTATACAGTTTCTTATAATTTATGACTGTCGATGGTGCACAACACAGTAACCAACGTAAATTTAAACAAAAAAGGATAAAGGAAAAAAGATAGGAGGCGAGGAGGAAAAGAGTGCGATAGAGAGTGAGAGAGAGACAACACTGTTAAATTTTAATCTAACACTAAATGATTTTCCGGTGTTTAGGCTAATTTTATTCAAACCACCATAATAAAATATTTTTTTACAAGACCTCATGAAGTTCTGATTTCGTTTTATTTGGTTTACATTAAGATTAGAATGTTGTGATTAATTTCAATTAATTAAGGTTTTTAGTTGAGATGAAAAAGTCAGTGTCACGAGCGGGATTCGAACCCACGACCTTCGGCTAGATACGCCGCTGCTCTACCACTTGAGCTATCGTGACTTCGATCCACTCGGACACCAACTTCCCATGTCAACCACACCTTTTGAATTTTCCTTCCTTTTTGTCATTTTTCAAATGTCGTTTAATCTATTTGATTCTCGGCGACATATGAAATGGCCACGGAGAGCTTTAGTGAAGTATACTTCATTTTAACTTATTAAATCCACTTGTTTTTGTAGTCCGCTTGACCAATTGATATCTTTCAATTAATTATGGTTTTTAGTCGACATAAAATGTCAGTGTCACGAGCGGGATTCGAAACCACGACCTTCGGCTAGATACCAGGACCACGAATACAAGTTGTGATTAATATAACGATTAATCTAAAAATTCATATAGTTTGAAATAAACCACAAATTGATAGTGTACTTTAAAATACAATAGTGAGTAGAAATACTTTGTTTGAATATAAAATATATTTTGCATTGTATAAATTCACTTTTCCATATCCCAAAATGTATTTGTTAAATGTAAACAATGTTTGTAAATCCCAGGCCCTGAAGATGATCTCAATAAAGATCGAAACGTTGGCACGATAAAGAAAAGGTTTTTCTGAAACCTACATCACACCGCACCGCATCTCACGATATCTGAATAACTTTAAAATTGTTTTTGCTAAATTTGTTTTTCACATTGGTTTTCTTTGATCCATTTTTTTATAGTTTTACTTAAGACGTTTTTAGGAAAAATTCTTCTGTCCGGTATCCGGTCATAACATATATTTATTGTTTTATTTAAAAAGAAATTCCTTATAAAATGTGGTACATTTTTATCAAACCTTTGATTTTGAGCGTACAAAGCAATATCATTGATCCTTGCAACCCTCTTGCAATCTGCAAGGATCGATCCGACCATGTCATTACGATTTCATCCGGGCCATTTGCCCTGACGACCGTCGGATACGAAAGCTCCTCCTTTTTAGACGAGCCTGAGGAAATCGACTACGAAAAATTAAGAAATTCGACTTTCATCTCTCTTTTGGAATGGAGGTGTCGATCAATGTTATTTTGAGACGATGAAGAAAAAATTGAATAATAGAAGAAAAAAAAAAAGAAGAAATTGTTAAAAATAAAAACAAAATAATTTGCGCTCTACTGATATTTCAAAGCCTCATAGATGGGAAACAAAAAATAAAGTTTTTCTACAAAGATAATTAGATTAATAAATAAAATTTCTTACGGGGAAACGAACAAATAACGGTTGTTTAAAAAAAATATTTTTAGTTAAGGTTACCCAAAAAGGAATCCACCATTCATAACGAAACGAACGTGGTAGAAGTACTTTCAGAGCTCACTCTAGGTCAAAAATGGATTCGAAAATTCGACTGCGAGCATAGCAAAATAGGGAGGATCTGCGTTGAGAGT